GAGATCATGTGTCGGCTAGTGACCCCAAGTCGGGGGTCTGATTGGAAGGCTGAAGGCCCCGAAGGGCTGGCTGTAGGTCACATTAAGGACCCCCGACCGCAGGGCCATGATCTCATGTCAGTTTGAGGGCCTCTTGCACACCGATTCGGGTCCCCTAAGACAGAGCGTTCCTCTCTTTCGGTCGGAGATCGCCAACACCGGACAGCCAGCTCAATGACGAGCTGAGCTCTGAAGGCCCGTTTCCCTAGCAGGGAAACGGCCCGGTCCGCGAATTAGTTGGGACCCCCTGCGACAATGCGGGGCTCCTGTATCATTCAGGGGCTCACAGTGCCTAACAGGGTATTTTGCATCAACAAGGCGCCTCGAGTCGGCCAGGGGAAGATTCGCTCAACAGAGAGTGAAAGAGGGTCTCTCACGTTTGTTGCGGCCTCTAACAATGAAAACGTGAAAACTTAAGATGAGTGTTCATATTGAGGCAACGAAGGGCCCTGTGCCAGTAAGGGCACCCAGTGAAGTCCCTTGGCGAAATCGAAGAGCTCCAGCGAGACACTGACGCTGCCGCTGCCGTCATCGAGTGATCTGACAGATGGCAACTCCCATTTGATGAATCAAAGAGTAAGGCTCTGTACATTGGGTCCAGGAATCCCAAGCACACATACAATTTGCGGGGCTCACATCTTGCAGCATCACCAGTTGAGTGAGAGACTTGGGCGTCCACGTAGACCCGTACCTAAAATTTCGGAAACAGGCGGCCTCTGTAGTCTCAAAGGCCCTCCAGATCTTGGCGGAGATGTGTAGATCCTTCCAGAACGTCGATTAAAAAAAAAACACTACCTTTGCTGTCCAAGGCCCTTGTGAGACCCCACCTTGGGTACGGTAACATCATCAAATTAATGATATACAATTACCTCCTCACTGAGCTCAGATTGTATCCTCTAGATTCTAGCATCCTGAATGTCCCACGATCTCAGAGTCATGTTCACACCTATGCCCAAGAAAGCCCAAAATATTCCACCGTACGTTATCTTAACCATGCTTTTAAATGCCTGACTACGTTGTTATATTTTGCGGCTGGCTCAGGGGCGGATCTAGCCTGGAGTTGTTTTTTTTTTGGGGGGGGGGGGTGGGGGCGGGCAACCTTTCGTCGCCAGCTAGCTGGTGTGGGATCCGAGGTCCAGTGCGTGGTGCCTCTCGCGAGTAGGGACATGATTACACCATACTAGGGATACCATACTAGGCAGAGGCACCACATGGTGCCCCTGCCTAGTAGGGACACCATTCAAGCACCGAAATACTTTTGAATCTTAAACAGAAGTTAAAACAAAAACAGTTAAACACTTTAAGTTAAAACAGACGGTCAGTAGACGAACATTTTATGAAGTTCTGGGAATGATTTGGGAGGGGCAAAAACATACTCTGAGAGTTTTGTGGGAGGGCCATGGCCCCGTGCCCCCCCCCCCCCCCAGGATTCGCCTATGGGCTGGCTGACTCGTTCTTGCCGTGCTCCGTTTTGCTTATATGTCGACAGCGCCTACATCTTCACGCGTGTCACTTCTGTTTGATATGTTTTGTAATGCCTGCCAAATTGGTGTTTACTGTCGTAGTTGCCTGCAGGCACGGCCAAAAAGTTTTTGATATGGTAGCTTCGCGGCACACTTTTACCGGAAGGGACCCTTTTATGCCCACCGGAATACATAAACGGGTGGATGCGGATATAACAAATTAAAAAAGTGGCAGCTTAAATGTTGAATTGCAGCATCGTCAATGAAGTCAACATGGCCCAAAGATTGGTTCCCGGGCAGATGCCTGTGAAAATACCAAAGGCCGTTTGCAAAGTCGCAGTGCGTTGAAAGTTACTGCCCACTTCATATCAGTCACATCGCAACGATTTAAGCATACCCTTGTGACCAGATGCGTTGCCATAGCTTGGTCTTCTTCAGTATTTTATACTGTTTAGCTTGGGGCACTTAGAGTTGGTTGCTAACAGCGAACAGCGAATTGGCCGAACGACCGATTCATAGGAAACAGGAAAATACACATAGGAAATACGCTGCTTTGCCGCCGATCCGTCACCGAGTCGATCAACCCACCAAAAATCATAGCATCTTTTTGTCTCTGGGTTGGCATGAAGCATGAAAAGATACCACTGTGCCATAGAGCACGGCAAATGTTTTTTTACGGAAAGACTTGCTGATGTTGTGTAGCGGAAATTGTTCACGGGGATTTCATGTCAGATTGAGCATAACACGTTGCGACATTTTGTCGTGACTGTCAATAAAGCTTTCAGTCAAAAATATTTTTGGCAACAGGTGTTGCATGAAAATATGCATTTTTGTCGCTGCCTTTATCCAACAAGTCGGCAGGCTTTACCACTTCTCGCATATACTACCAGTATCACCTTGCCTCAATCTTGCAAATCTGACATTTCGCCCATGTGCCCTCTACCTTGGAGGACTAGGAGTGGAGACCTTTATCACCGATCGTATAATAATGTGGTGATGCGAGCTACACACAGTGAAACTGTCGTGTTATGTGCGGCTAGTGTTTCCCTATGGGATGATTGTCACCAAGGACTAGAATTTGGCATTGTCTGCTTTCAACTGGCATTGTCTGCTTTCCTCGCTTACCGCATCGTCCTGTATCCTCGCAAGCCCTGTATGATTAAATGCGCTCTGAAACCGTCAGACATCAGGCAACCACAAGGAGTTTGCAGAAGTTCCACCCGCGCGCTCGGACACACCTGAAAGTGGATTCCTGTGCGGGGCAGGGCCCGGTGGTGAGGATAGCTTACGATGGCAGCAGCGCTGCTATCGTTATTCACCCGTCTCTTTATTCGCGCTGTTTTCCTCGTCTACGGCTTTGTCCTGCCTCCCCGCCACGCCCGCCCCGCCGACAGCTCTGTGTGGCCGCCTCACGGCTGCCGCGCTGCCTCTCAGGCGACTTATGGGTCGCTTAAAAGGAAATGTTCCAGATTTGAAGATATTGAGGCAAGTATAACATATGACGAAATCAGCTCACTTACAGCTATTGGTATGTGAGAAGACTGTTCTACACAACCAACATTTGACTTTCTTCAAATAAGCTTCTCAATACGTCATCGTTTGACTACGTCATGGAACGTTTGTATGACGTCGCAGTCGCTGCCAGGTTCGACCACAGAAGTTATTCGAGAACAGAATTACTTCCGTCATAACTCATACCACTGCCCAAATTCCTGCATTATATAACACAAAACGCAATATGTGTTCGAGCCTAGCACTCAACGCATCAAAATATATCAATGCCAACTGACGGTCGCTAGTGCCGCGAATTGTATATTGGTCTTGAACGGTACATGGCCAATGAGTTGACGATGTCTGCCCTGGCGTGTGTATGGCGACATGAATGTCCGGGTGACCTTGAGCTAGTCCGCACGAAATAGCTTGCACAAGTTCGCGGGAGTCCAGCTCAGCAACAAGTTGATTTATGTCTAAAAAAGGGCATGATTGTAAACTACACTGAATTCCAGTGTCCAGAGTCCAGCTCAGCAACAAGTTGATTTATGTCTAAAAAAAAGGGCATGATTGTAAACTACACTGAATTATATTCAAAATGACTATTCCGGTTGAAACCCCACCCAAATGTAGAACATCCCATTAATGTGTCGAATTTCAAATGTTCGGCGGGGAGAAAAGTCTAAGAAAGATCGCTAACAACCTCAAATGCCTCTTAAAGCACCTCCGCACCCTCCGTGGCATTCATGTTAACCTATCGTCGCTATTTCACGCATAACGCCACTGTTGCCATCACTGACGGATCCAGGGGTGACAATGGCGCCGTGGTCCCTGCCCAAAAGACAAAAAGGGGACACCATGTCATTTTCTCCCAAACTGATTCAATATTCAGTCATAAGGAAGATGGTTTTCAGGCTGATAAGACAGTCGTATAAGCTTTATTCCCCGGAGAAAAACCAGGAGATAGAGATATGGTTGGGTTCTTATTTCGGCAACAGGCTTTAATCGAAACAATAGCGGAAGTTCTATTGATTTTTACGATTTGGACCCTGGTTTTTCGCCAGGAATAAGGCTAATATTACTGTCTTATCTATGTGAATTATGTTCCTTGCTAATGCACTGAACAACTGGTTTTCGGACTTTCCATACACAAAAACACATTCTCAACACATTCTCGCGCCTTCACCGCAAAATGGATATTACCAAACGACACAATGAATGAGTAGGAGGGACTGAGAGGGAAATCAACTCTTCGCATTTAGACCCGCAATTTTCATTTTCGCCATGGATGACTCATGACGGACAAATAAAAATCAGCGCGACGTGTGCACACTGAGCCCCCCACCACCACACCCAGAACACTCTTGGTTGCTCCTCTGAACACTGCCCAGCCGTTAGGAGCTGCCCATCCAAGCTGCATCAGCAACAAATGAATTCCGTTCATGAAATAGCACCTGTATTATATAGTTGGTGTGTAACATAGCACTCTTCACACCCACCTCAAACTAAACTGAGGCAAAGCTCGGCAATTGGCTTAATTTTGCCCATTTACCTAACCGATGCTGGCTGTGGCCCCACTCTGTCGCCCTACTCTACTGCATCTGTCCCTATATTACCCAGGCGTTACCCCATCACGCTATCCCACTGTATCCGCCCCGCTGTTGGACACGCGTCACTACATCGCGCTGTCCCACAGCGCATGTCCCGCTGCTCGCCGCGGTACCGCTCCATCACGCTGGCTCGCCGCGTCTGCGCCGATTTGCGCCGCGGTGCCGCTCCATCACAGTTTGCCGCCACGTCTGTCCCGCTCCAGACGCGCGACCGTCCCGGAGCGGCCTCCCAGCGCGGCCGCGTTTCGCCGTACCGCGCGCCGCGCCCTGGCCGGTTTTTCTGCGGGCGGGTCATTTCCCGTCCGATACGCGGCCTGTGGCGCGCGCCGACCCCCTCTGCCGGGTGGGCCGCCTGCCAGCGGCGATCAGACGTCCCGCGGCCGTCGGCGGGGTCACAGGTCAGAGGTGGGGCAGTACGTGAGCCGACGGCGGAGTGCAGATCTACAGTGAACCGCCCTCGGCAGAGACAAGTGAACTGGAGGGGACGGAGACCGGCGCTTGAACTCACGCTCGTGACGTCGCCTGGTTGCGGGCGAGGACGCGTGCGGAGTGCCTTCTACTGTCAGCTGCTCAGACATGAGCGACCTAAAGTGAGTCGGAGTGCCTCGGGACAGTTTTTGCACGGTCATGCTGCTTTGTTGCAGTCGTTTCCACACGCACCGGTGGCGCTGGAATCTTAAACTCGTTTAAAGGTAGCTTTTACCCGTTTAAGTGTGTCTACAGCTGATACAGCTGGTACTTGTAGTGTCTATAACTGAACAGATGAGAATACGTATGGATGGCCACAAGGGTCACTGCCGTCATTAATTTTTCGGATTTTTTTTTGTTGCCCTGAACGCTAATTCCGAACGGCTGAAGAGCTCTGGCGCCCAGGCACACAGCATACAACAGCCACTTAGTTTTTTCCAGCACCAGCCCCGAGGGTGTCGATGCAAGAAATGCTTATTCTGCATGATAGAACCGCGCGGCACGGAATTCCCTAATACGCACATCCAGGGCTGTAACTTGTCAGAACCGTTTGAGGGGAGGGGGGGGGGGGGCGGGCGAGCCAATAAAGTTAGCCTAACATATCCTCCTAGTCGAATTTTTCCCGGTATTTCGGCGACTAACTTGCCCGCCCAATTTAAAAATTGTAATTAACAAGGAGGATTTGGTCGGTTTCAACACTGTGTTGTTGTCAAGGAACAATTCCCCACTTGAAGCCGATGTGATAGTGGTAATGGAGCTGTATGATTATGATGGTATAGATCATGACGCGTTGAGAGCCTAGTGTACCAGCAGTTCAGACACTTGCTGCATTTTATTGGCCCAGTATTCCCTTATTGTTCATATGCATTGTGCTGGGGGTAGCGTGAGGTGGGGTCAAAACAGCGTTGAGCGGTTCAAGTCAGCATGGAGTGAGGATCAGGTCCCCAAAAGCATGCAAAGTGACACCGCTGTGCACATCGCCGTCGACAGATACACGAACTCCCGAAGAAGTGAGTGAAATACGATGGGAAATTTTGTAAGTGAACGGATCGTTCAATGTTTTACGACACTAAGTTTTCAGGAACAAATGCTCAGGCAGGGGTGAACAAGGAGAGTTGTGCCAGTTTTTGCGTTGAGCTGCCCCTGCTTTTCTACTGAGATTATTATATCTGCAGCCTGCTGTAACTTTCGGCTTCATATGCAGCGGTAAAATTGTGGAGATCGTGTCATGTTTGTTTGTTGTTTTTTAAATGACTTCTGCATGAACCGTTTTCAAACTAGACAGCCTGCCCCGCCCTTGGATAAATGGTATTACATGGTGGGAAAAGTTGTCCTTACGTTTGTTTTTCACAGAGCAGGCTGCGTTTAAAGCAAAGTGAATGCATGACGACATGTAGACCAAGGGGGCTCGTCTGCGCTTTTTCGTAAATCATCGTGGTTGCAACATGACAGGTCACTGCCGTTTTAATCAGTCAGTGTTTGTTTTACAGCCTACTGCCACCTCAGTTTCGTTTGCCCGGGTAAAAATGATGGATTTTCACAGGCAATATGCGTGTGAACCTGTTGTCTGGATGTCAATAATTTATGACCGTCATGCTAGCCAGTCATTGACGGTATCTCAGCCAGTGACGCATTGTCCGTACATTGTATCACCGCCACAACATGTTTCATGCGCGGCTGATACGACATGTACCGCCCGACATTTGGAAAAGAGTTCGCCCAACCCTGATATCCCTGATATGGTATCTGATGTCAACATATATATATATATATATATATATATATATATATATATATATGCTACTGATAGATGCCAAATGCTTTGCAGCATATGCGACAAATGCAATTTTGCGCCACTCAGTATGACATTTAGATTGATCTAATTATGCCGTAAATACTTCACATTGGTACCGATCGCTAAAATTTTCAACGATATGATAAACAGATGTGTTTCGTTCACCTCAAGACGCGTGCACGTGTGCGCCCGAAAATATGACGCTGAAAGATCAAGAGCTGTTGTGCGTTGGCTGAGTTACTCAAGACTGCCACTCGTCGCATAAATCTAGAATAAATCGTCCTGATTCTACTTGGACAGGATACAACTTCCCCCAGCCTCCCCTTACCATTGGTTGCAGTCAATTGAGATTGATTGAGCTTTTATGACCTTATTTTGCGAATGCAACCAACATTTCCGTGCGCAATGGTGTAATCTTACCGTGATGTTTCAATTTTTCTCCAGTGATGTTATCTTCTGCGCTCTTGGGATGGGCGTAAAAGCGTTCCTTTTCACATGCAGGCTCTTAGACTTTTTCTTCACTCATAATTTTCCACCAAGCGGTTCGCCACTGTCGATGTTTGCAGTGACGATCGATTCGTCACGGACAAGGTTTCAAAACTGGGCACAGTAAACGCGATACAGTGGATTCCCACATGACAATCACGTCCTCTGTGCTAAGTAATCATCTAAAGACAATGGGGATTCCGGGTTTTATAAGGTATTATACGGTTTTATAAGGTTTTATAAGGTTTTATAAGGATAAGGTATCATCAGGCTGTTGGTGGCGTCGGGCTCCTTTCGGTTTCAGCACACTTAGCATTCATGGAACGGCTGCGGTGGGACGCGAGATAATGGTCTTCTGCTTCGGCCTTCGGCTAGACCATGTACCTGCCATGTACCCAATGCACCCCATTCAAATACTGCAGCAGTAATGGCTGGCCCATATAGATGTCCGGCCAGCAGATGGCACGGAAACGCAAAATACATGTCACCATGTCAATGTCATTTTCTGGGTCGATTCGGTCACACATGGCTCCATGTGAATTGTCTATGCATATGACTTACAATGTCCAGCGGCTAGCTTTGACAACGGCGTCAAGGTATTGCTATATATCTTAAACGTCTTGTTTATGCACGCCCGTTTGCATGGGCTGGCATGACACAAATCTCATTATCAACTAGCCTGAACACATTAATCATAAATCACTCACCAACGCATTGTGCACAAAAACCACACCTCATGAAGGCTTGAGCGCACGCGCTGTACCAGCCTGGGATATATTGGTGGCCTGAGACGTCACTGCACAGCTCCCCGCCCCAGGGTGCAGTTTCCTATTGAGCTGGGAGGGGAGGGGAGGGGGTCAGTGCTGGCAAATTGAACTCCATCCCCATCCCAACTTTTACAATGACATGGTCAAGATCCGGGAAATGAGCCGTTTGTTGACGCTTTTTTGGGCAGGCCGAGCCGTCTTTCACTGTTCAGCCCCCAGCTCATTTTGTGACACTCCGCCCCTGCTCCAGCCCCCCCCCCCCTCCTTATCCGACCTCGGCGAGCGCAATGGCCGGCTGTGATAGCTGCGCCTCGCGCCGCCGGACAATGGACGAGCTTTGGCGGCTCCACCGGTGTTTTGTGCTAACGACCGCGCTTCTTTTCATGAGGGTAATGACGTGCCGCGGGATCCTGATGACTACGCCCCATTCAGGCTGGACTTGGCCCGGCCTGACTCTTGAGACTGTCTGCCGCCAAATTCGCCGGCACCACTGTTGCGTTACCTCTGTTTAGGTCTGCGTCGTGGAGCGTTGGCCATCGTCGGCGAAGCGGGCACACCAGAATACTGTTCGGTTGGCTATGACGCGACACATGTCACCGGTCAACGCCTCTCAGGACATTGACGGACAGTTCGAGTCATGGACCAGCACATGCTTACGACAGGGTGGCTGCACGGTGCTTTGCACATACGCTGCTATGAATCGTAGAGTTGGACTGGCTGGTCCTGCTACAGAGCGTAGCTCAAAGCTCTCTAGCGGGGGCGTATATTCAGGAGGAAAGGACCCCGCGGGCACGTGCACCCAGTATCGAATTTTATATGCAGCAATATCCATTGAAACACACCTCGGCAATGAGAAACTGGGCTAGGCATGTAGAAATAACTTGACTGAAAACTTGCGATACTGCAAGACGCTATGCAAGAAATCCCGCGAGCCAACGACGCGTTATTCTCGGTTTTTCTACAATACATTTTTAATTTTACCCCCACCACCATCGGGAAATCCTACACGTGTCTACCCCTTACAATGCTAATAATCTGTACTCGCGTGTAACTTTGTCGCGTGAGCATTTATCTACTTGACCAGGCTCGTCTTTACAAATCCGCCGATTCTTGCCCAGCGGTGCTGGCTGCACAATGACCACCGTACCGCCCACACTCGGTTCTGCCGCTCTCCGCCGTTCCGGGAGGGCGCCCCTCGTACATCCACCATCTGAGCGCAGTGAGTCGGAAGGCATCGCTGGCTGCCTCCGTCCGCCGGTCGTCGGACGTTAACGGCTTTCCGCCCGCTAGGCCCCCGGGCATAACTCGCCGATGGCCAGCCGGGATGGGGCGGTCCTGACCCGGCGCGCCGCCTCCGACCCGGTCCACGCACAGCCTGTAGCTCTACCCAGCTCCGGTGCTCCAGAGCTGCGATGTGCTTTGCGTTTACCTCAGGCGTGACCATCAGTATTTTTACGCGAGTCCTTAAATCAAATACACGGTACGCCACACCACCATAGGAGGTATATATATATATATATATATATATATATATATATATATATATACATATATATCTGTATATATATATATGTAGATATATATATATATACAGATATATATGATATCAATAGGATGTGAAAGTGGAAAAGTGATGCAGCATTCATAGCGATTGCAGTATAGGGGGTAACTTTTACTATGCTGTGGACTTTCATTCCCTTAAGCTAGCACGCAATGTAAAGGCGAAGGAGAGCCTTACCCTAAGAGAGGAAGGAATGCGTCAATAGCTTTGCAATAGTCCGCGAGTTCACAAGCCTCGTTATCAGCACGCTATGAGATGGGGTAGGGATGGGGTTACTAGAGCTTCAGCCCCGGCTGGCTCTTGTCGTCCCTTCGCCGCTTTTAAACATGTCACTGCGGATCATGACTGTCTCCCAGCAGATTGCGAGCGCTGCGCCACATAACTTGAGATGGTTTGGCTTTTGCAAAACATCTCAGCGTGAGAGGTTAGCGCAGATGTGGCGACGCTGCGCGCTGCGTCTCCCAGCAGACTGCAAGCATTGCACCACATAATTTAAGATGGTTTGACTTTGGG